AAATAGTCTCATGCAATGAATGAAATTTCATTATTGGTATCATACACCCATGTTTCAAATTGAAGCAATTGAAAAAACACGTATTCACATTGCCAATAGTTAATAAAACGTGTTTTATTTTTATTTTATTTCAGCGTGCAAATGCAAACAGTCTGTTATACACATGAAAAACTTCCAACTTCAAACTTTTAATGGCGGTAAATACACATATCCAGTACAGAAGAATGGTCCATGCATGTACACGTTGCTACGTTCTTGTCGACCCGACACACAGATTCACATAAATGCAAGCATAATCTCTAATCAAAATGGTTCTGGTTTAATTTCTATGGTATTGTGTTTTCCAAAACCGTTTGCTCACGAAGTTATATTATCACCTACAGAACCAGCTAAAGTGAGTACACCACACGTTCAACTATAATTTCAATAACACAAGTATGTTACAATATTATCACCGACATTGAGTATATGTTATATTCATAATCACTGGTCACCGACATACAGTTAGTGAAATTTATGGAGTTCCATTATTGGTATAATAGTCCATGCAGTGAATAAAGTTTCATAATTGGTATAATAGTCCATGTAGTGAATAGAGTTTCATTATTGGTATAATAGTCCCATGTAGTGAATGAAGTTCCATTTTTGGTTTAATAGTCTCATGCAGTGAATGAAGTTTCAATATTGGTATAATAGAAATATTCATTGGCATCGACCAACATTCTGAAATGAGTCTGTGTTACATTAAATGGCATTGACCAAGACTCTACAATGAGTATATGTTATATTCATTGCCATCGACCAACATTCTACAATGAGTATGTGTTACATTCATTGACATTGACCAACATTCTACAATGAGTATATGTTACATTCATTGGCATTGACCAATACTCTAAAATAAGTATATGTTATATTCATTGGAATTGACCAACACTCAACAATGAGTATATGTTACATTCATTGGCACTGATCAAGACGCTACAATGAGTATGTATTACATTCATTGGCATTGACCAAGACTCGACAATGAGTATATGTTGTATTCATTGGCATCGACCACCATTCTACAATGAGAATGTGTTACATTCATTGGCATTGACCAACACTCTACAATGAGTATATGTTATATTCATTGGCATCGACCAACATTCTACAATGAGTATGTGTTACATTCATTGGCATTGACCAAGACGCTACAATGAGAATGTGTTACATTCATTGGCATTGACCAACACTCTACAATGAGTATGTGTTACATTCATTGGCATTGACCAACACTGTAAAGTGAGTATATGTTATATTCATTGGCATCGACCAACATTCTACAATGAGAATGTGTTACATTAATTGGCATTGACCAAGACTCTACAATGAGTATGTATTACATTCATTTGCATTGACCAACACTCTACAAAGAGGATATGTTATATTCATCGGCATTGACCAGCACTCTACAATGAGTATATGTTATATTCATTGCCATCGACCAACATTCTACAATGAGTATGTGTTATATTCATTGGCATCGACCAACATTCTACAATGAGTATGTGTTACGTTCATTGGCATTGACCAACACTCTACATTTAGTATACGTTATATTCATTGGCATCGACCAACATTCTTCAATGAGTATGTATTACATTCATTGGCATTGACCAAGACGCTACAATGAGTATGTGTTACATTCATTGGCATTGACCAATAATCTAAAATGAGTATATGTTATATTCATTGGAATTGACCAACACTCAACAATGAGTATATGTTACATTCATTAGCACTGATCAAGACTCTAAAATGAGTATATGTTATATTCATTGGCATCGACCAACATTCTACAATGAGCATGTATTACATTCATTGGCATAGACCAACATTATACAATGAGTATGTGTTACATTCATTGGCATCGACCAACACTCTACAATGAGTATATGTTATATTCATTGCCATCGACCAACATTCTAAAATGAGTATGTGTTACATTCATTGGCATTGGTCAAGTCTCTACAATGAGTATATGTTAGATGCATTGGCATCGACCAACATTCTACAATGAGTATGTGT